ATCTCCACACCTAAACCGGCAAGACAACGAGCTCGTGGCTCAATGGTTAGGGTGTATGACTCTGATCAAGAAGGCCGCGGGTTCGAGGCTCGAGTGGGACACCACATGGGTCTGGGCATGACTGGCTGACGACGCCTAATAAGCCAGAAATGATCATTCCAGTTTCCCTTGACTTTGCCGGCAATATTATCCGCTTTTCGATACCAGTTGTTACGGCTGTCAGGGTCTCTGTCGAGACCCCAGGCAGGGCGGGACAGGTGAGTTTCGTAACGGGTCAGGTGAGCGTTCATTAACGAGTTTCATTATCTCCCGATCTAAACCGACAAGCCAACGAGCTCGTGGCTCAATGGTTAGGGCGCTTGACTCTGATCAAAGAGGTCACGGGTTCGAGTCTCGGGGGGGGACATCACATGGCCTGGGAATGACTGGCTGACGACGGCTAATAAGCTGGAAATGGCCAATCCAGTCTCCCTTGTCTTTGCCGGCAATATTACCTGTCTACAAAAACCTTTCGCCCTGATAGCAAAACTAATCCAAATGTCGATCGGCGATTTGATGCACGAATTATGTGCAGTATGATATTAGTGTGTCCCGCTGGCGCTGTCGGGGTTCGAGCCGTGTCACCACTGAAAGGGTGGCGCCGAGTTCGTTTGATATGGACCATTCAGAGTTAGGAGCAGGCGAAGCGTCCAAGAATTGCAAAGGCGCTGATCGACTGGACTGGTCTTAAAGCAGTTTTGTGGTGCGAATTCCATATGACCACTGGCTACAGTCCTTCTAGCCTTGAAGATGATGACTATTCCTGGGTGTCAATCTATGACACGGAAAGCCTTAACCCCAGAAGACTACAATACAGAATCAGTGGCAATTTTTATTTATATTTTTTTTAAATTTATTATATAAACTTAAACACTTAATTAATTTTTTTAAATTATCGTGTGCTTTTTGTTGCTATATATTAGACATTTATAATAATCTTATCCACTATTTTCTGCTTTTGTTAGCTATATTTATTTTATTTTCTCGGGAAAACTGACTTGTAGGGCCCCCCTAGATATCTATCCCCCCGCCCAACTGTTTAATGTATTTTGTGGTCAAACATTTAATTATTGGCTAGTGGGCTTAAAGTAATATGTAATTGTGGCGAAAGTGATTAAAAATATTAAATTAAATAAGATTATGTTTGTTTTGATATGCTAAAATAGAATAAAATTCGATCAATATAAACCTCTGTTGCGCAGGTTATGAATGCCAATTAAGAGAAATTCGACAGTATGTTGGCGGAATTTAACGGAAATGGAAACTCATCCTCCTATTGGTGGAATTTAATGAAAAAATTCAAAGTCGGGCTACTGGACATTTAAAAGTTATTTTTTACTATAAGTTGACGAGATTTTTGGGGCCTCTTAAATCACTCTTGCCATTTTTTCTCCAGCTTCCCCGTACTGCGCCACCCATATAACTCCCATTAGCCCCGGTCCCATATGACGGAATTCTGGGGCTTTACCTTCCGTGGTGATCCATATAGTAGACTGTTACCCATTCCTATCGCCCATTATAACGCAGACGTGTGTAGAACTAGAGCAGACAAAGCGCAAACCTGAAGAAAGCACGGCATTGACCAGGAGGACCCAGTTTCGATCTAGGCTAATCTTAGTTTGTGCGTTCTAATCCATTTACGAGGATTCTCTAACCTTGATATCTCAGGCTTATCAGCTGAAAGCCTGATATTGAAAAGGCTAGCACTGGAAGTTATATCACTATGTTATCGCCGGACGGATATAGTGCAAATTGAAATATGATAGAAAGCTTTTCTAATGCCCTTTGGCTGCCACCTAAATATGCTCCATATCTTGGGACTATCGGCGTACCACGTAAAACCCCAGTTACTATCGGATATAGTACTCCCACTTAATCTTTGTTTAGGCTTAAGCGGACTCCTTCGCTTTTACTAAACCCCCTATTTCACACTTGAATACTGGCATTAAGCTAAGCCTTTGGCATATGTTTAGATGTAAAGGTTAGGATTAGGCTTTTAACATCTATTTAGAGGTAGAGGTTAGACAAGCATGGTTTTCAACTTCAGTTAGATCTTCAGGTGCGGCCGGTCCAAGGATAAGTTTTAATGATGCATTCTTACGACTCCCTCCTCCAAGGTTACTGGTCACCTCAGTGAATTCTTCTACAGGCCTTTGGTTAAACTGAGAATGCCACCAAACAATGCAGATCGAAAAGTCTCTCCGGCTATGCCTAATCGAGGCTCAGCTTATAAGAACGATCCGTTACACAATCTACTTCTATCCGGAACAACATTGATAGAGGTCTATAGGAAGTCTGACGCTAAAGCAGATAGGTCTAGAAGACAATTCCGTCTTTCGCCGTAGGCAAGATATAAACATCCCCAAGCCCGTAAAAGGAAAAAGAAAGCAATTGAGCACAGCAAAACAACTTCATGCAGTTTTGTTATTCAAGTTTGTTACATTCTACTTAGCAAGCATATTTTTACTCAATTAATCAAAAAGATTTTATACCATTACGTAGGGATAAGGTTTCAAGTAAAATAATGGAAAAAAAGGGAAGAAGGAGAGGGGGTTCCTACCCTCGCTAAGGCATGGACCGAGCTGTTCTGGAGGAAGAACCACCGAACGCCTGCTTTGTTATCCAGAAGGTCCGTAAGTGAGTTAAAGAAGACGCCGGTAGTGGGCATAATCAACCTCCGTGCAGCCAGCATGGCAGCGAAGGTGACGACCATGATTAGCGCGTTGAACCAATAGAATTGATATAGAACTCGGATGGAGGGCATCTTTGGCCGCAAGTTAAGCTGGTCGGGAAGGAATAAAAAAACGAGAACTTGAAGAAATACTATTCAATCGCACTCCTCTTTTGATTGTCTGCAGTGTTCGTGACAGAAAAACGAGAGACAATTGTGTGGACACAGTGCTACTGGAAGGTGTCTGCAAATCGCGAAACTATTTCTAATTAAGTTAATATAGACTGATAAAAAAGCTGCCTGTGTATTGGTTAGGGCTTGGAGAAAGTCATACTTGCAAGCAACCAGTACGAAAATGCTGGTTGACTGAGATGTCGTGTGATTGCCTTGGCTGTACTTGGCATTTGTTCGTGTCGAAGAAAGGATTGGCAATACAAAATGCCCGAGCATATTAATACAAACACACGGTTCCTGTGTGCGGTTTAAGGGAACTTTGCGACTCAAATGAACATAAAGGCGGTAACAGTTATGTCAAGCATGTTGTAACGGTGGCCAAGGCCGAGGTGTGTGTGTGAGTCTCCCCCCCAAAGAAGAACACGACAAGAAGAGCGCAACAGCAGAATTCTTGGGGTGTAACTGGTACAACACATTTACGACAACAAACGAATGTAAAGCTATGTCCTTCGGGCCAATCAGCTTCCGTCCTGGCTTGGCTGGCGGCACGATTGGCTTGTGACTCAGCGGCAGGCTGCAGCTTAAATTTTAAATTATCGATTGATTGACTGCAAGTTTGCGTTCGCTCGCGTGTAGGCTGATTGATAGCCTGCATTGAGCGTGGCTCGCTCTTGCATGCTAGCTGCCTTCTAGTTCCTCCTAACAAAGTATAAACGGGAAAATCTAATAAAGCGGCCAGAAGAATCTAGGTAAACTTTTCGATCCAGCTCGGAAAACGAAATTGCGGCAATAAAGTGCACTAATGCGGCATACACTAATCCGTTCTGAATTACGGAGTGACGTGAGCATTAGCTATCTGAAGGGGAGCCGTGCGACTAGCGGCCACGCCTGCAGCAGCATATTGGCCAACACTATTAGATTACAGATCATATTTTTAGATTAGCTGTTGTTGCTATGCAGCTTCGAGCGTCCCGCTCAGACCAAGGGTGCTTTTGGTAGCAGCCCTTGAAGCCCGAGGGACAATGTATAACCTCCAGCACCGTTGTTTTCCACAGTAGGCAGCAAAGCACAGAATGCTCATGCTTAACTCTGTAAACGAAAGATCTTATCCAAAACCGCCTACAGTGGATAGCTCAAAATGCAAAATTTATCATCAAGGCAACCCTCGCAGCAGGTAAGTTCGGAAAGTATAATTAACCTCCTGAAAACATAAGATATATTTAGAACAAAATACAGCGTACTAAAAATGTTTTGAAAAGCAGATACGTTTAAACATTACGGTACACAACCTTTAGGGTACGCCAAAATGCTAATGAACGAGAAAATACGTATGTATTTTGTGATACTGGACAAATATGCATGACAGAATTTACCTCATGGAATACAATTTTAATATTGCTAAGCGTGGATCGTTAGTTTAATGTCCTAAACACTTGATTCCATGTTTCGTACCTTCTCAGCCCAGTCCACAAGAAAAATGACATCAAAACCTTGGTGAGAAATGGAGTACAAGCTACTCTGCTTGGTCTGAGAGTTGATCCCTTCACATTCCACACAAGCATCTGCATATTTACAAGCACGCATTCAGTGAAAAAGTGTTCACAACTGAGGCAGGCAGACTGGAATGGCCATCCCTAGGCACTTAATAAGCTATGTTCAACAGAAATTTGAGTGACAGTCTGGTTTAGGGCTCACTACACCTACTTAATATAACTGCCTACTAATTTCGTAAGAGTAGGCATGATTTTCTCAACACAAGTCTATGACACAGCCTAATCACATTGCACTCCCCACATGGAAGTCGTAAGCATCCTGCAGTGACTTTTAATTTTATTAGCTTTCGGTCAATCTGGCTTTTATTTTATTATTCAGATTTATTAGTTACATTTTCGTTTAGTTTAGTCCTTTGTGCGGTTGCGAAAGTTGGGCAGTTCTCGTTTATTATTAGTTTTTTTTCATTTAACTTATCACGTGATTTTTGTGGCCAAGCATTAGGTTATTTTAGTGATTCTTCTTATTGTTTTCTAATTTTATAAGTCCTACTTTTTAAAATTATTTTTATTTTCCCTAATATGCTTCACCTATTTGACCCCTATTACCACGGGTCCCGTATTGTAGAATGCTGGGTGCTGTGAGCCCAGAACCAGATTTTTACCAATATTTAAGTTTACGAGGCTGTCAAGGATACATGTGAAATATTGCATGCTAGTTTAAGTCATAGTGAGAGGGTTTTGTGTCAGATTTCATCTGCGCCTCACTGACCTTCGCGAGTAGGATAGCAGAGAAATTTCGGAAGATTGCGTCCCTTATTTGTGAAAAGTGAGAAGTCTCCTCAACGGTACCTTCCACGCCTAAGTTACGTCGTTGACGCTCAGAAACCTCCTGAATTACCAGGAAAATTGCAGCTATGACGATGAGGCTGATGAGGATGAGTAACCAGACGTAGCCATCGAACGGTGCAAAGAGTTCGAAGGGCCTGTAATCCGTTGGAAAGGCCATTCCGACGATAACAACACTGTCCAGCAGGACCGAACTGGTTTGCTGGAGATTGAGAGGCGCGTTCTTTGCGTGCATGAGTGGGAAAGCCGAGATTGTGTACTGAAAACAGCAAAATTTTTCGTTTTACTTAACCTGAATGCATGCGGGTAATGAATAGTACATTAACGAGTAAGTCACGGACAGAATGACAAAATTAAAAAGAAATGATTACTGGATTGTGAACACAGTGTTCAATCAGGGGCATATGAACTCTTAGACTCGAAATAGTCGCACAAGAACAAAAGGTCTCCTAGGGTAACCAAGGCGTTCGTGCTTCTGACACTAGTTCAGTGAATAGGCCTAGGACAATCGTTGAGGTCACGATAAATTAGAGTACCAATATTCACCGTGTTGGATTTCGAGAGCTGATGACCTTATGGTCCTTGACCGTCTCACATTGGGGCTAGTATAGGGTAGTATTACAGAAGCCATTTATCAACACAGAATGTAAATGAGTTTAAGCCTTTTTCTTATACTGTGTACCATATCCTGTGCCCCTGAGAATATCTGCATGAATTTTCGCATTGGTCCAGCTTCTGTTACCTATCCTTCGTTTAAACCCTGCGAGGATTCAAGTTATAAAGAAGGAATCATAGAGACCGACATGGCCTTTCTAGCTTCTCTAACTTTACAATGATTTGAGAGACTTAGCTTAGGAAAATCTTTTTCATGGTGTCACCCTCCATAGGACTGTCCTTAGAGGTCCTATTTGCCTTTGACTTATTATAAACTGCTTTTACATTTTCAGTAGCCCGACTTTCTAATTTTTCGTTAAAATCCGCCAATATAAGCCCGAATTTCCGTCAATAGGCATCAGTTGCCTGAGCAACAGGAGTTTATGTTGATGGAGTTGATTATCTTTAGCCCAGTAAAACAGTTATAAGTGGCTTTAAGTTAATACTGTTTGATCACTTTTAACGCCATTAAATATTCATTTACACTGGTAAACCATGAACTAAATGTTGGAACACCAATTCCATTAGACAATCGGGCGGAGGAAATACATATTAAGGCGGGCCTAAAAGACAGTTTCGCCCCAGCCTTTAACTAGTTCCCGTCCTACGAACTTTGTCTGAGCGAAAAGAGATGGCTTTGTTGCGCACTTACGTTCAATATACCTAAATAACAAAAATATGTGTTTTTGTAGACGTTATCATGCCTATTTACTTTATTTCAATTGCATTCCTCCATAATTGAACTCACTGTATTATTGCCCATTGCTGACGGTTGGTGCCCTTTATTTAACCGCAAACCTTTAGTAATTGGTAAAGACTTTTGCCTTACTTCGGTTATATTTTCTCGCCTTGACTCGCTCAGTTATAATGCGACCGGTTACCGATTCTACAGCATTCCCATGCGCGTTAACTTTGCAGAAGCATATTGCACTCCCCGCACGGAACACTTTATTAATCGGCAAAGTCTTTTGCCTACCTTGATTACCACGCAATCGTGGATTCGTTTTGCGTTTGGTTCGTGCTAGATCGTTCCGCTCCTCGGAGTTCATTCGGTCACAATTTGAGTCCGAATTGTTGCAAGTTCCTTTTTTTATTTTTGAATTGTCGCGTACTTCTTCTTTGCATATTTTAGCTTATTACAACAATTCTGTGTATATTTTTTCTTGTTTTTATTGGCTGCATTCGCTTTATTTTCTCTCTTGCGCCCCCTTGGTTTCGCCGGTCCCTTAAGACAGAATTTTGAAGCTAGGTGGATCCTAGGTGCGCCATATAGCCTACTTACGTCAATCATGAATGTCCAAGTTTTCGCGGGAATGCAGTGTACCGATATACGTTGATAGCCGAACTCAGAATGGGCCTTCGTTTGCCCTTGGAGCTCGTGGAACAAATGCAGATGCCTAGGGTAAATCGAAACGCGCGTGGAACGTGACTACCTCGCAACTAAGCTAAGTTCGGCAGAGGTATTTTAAGTAGTGCACTTCATATACTCCTAGTCTGAGCATTCTGTCCTACGGAAACGGTGGTTATAGGGGTTTTAGGGGTGGAGAAATAGGATAGACAGTGAAGGAAATTAGTTGAAGAAACTAATAAGTGGAAAATGTAGTTGATTTTGTCTCCCACAGCCGCTGGTAGTAAGCTATTCCGCATGTAAATTGAAGGTGCGCGTGGCGCTTCACGTCGCGGACTATACTAATATAACTACAGAAGGGTAAGCTGGACCTCAGGTAAGTGGAAGTTAACGACCTCCTAACCACCATTTCCATTTCTTCGGGAGTTTCAAGAAACCTGCCTTTGAAGATCGGTTTTTTCCGCAATACGTTAAACGATAATGCAGATTAGGAAAATCTACAGATAAAAATCAACAATATTTCTAAATACAATAAAATAAAAATGCATATAGCAGTTACTAAAGTATGTTCTACTACCTATCCTAATTCCTTTCGCAAAAAACCCCTATAAACACCGTTTTCATAGGAGAAAATGCAGGGACTAGGCGTATATGAGGTGCACTACTTAAACTACTGTTGCCCTAAGTTCTTCTTAAAGGTATTCAGTAGTGTCACTCCAACCTTTTACCTTAGAATGTAGAAACTCCACAGCAACCAATTTGTCCGAGTCAATTCACCAAGGCAACTTGAAGCTTGATGTTTAGCGTGATTAAACTGGAGGTTTGTCGGTGTCATTGCTTATAGAGAGGATGAAGCAAACAGTTCGTTAGCAAAAATACACTACAGAGAAGGGGGGGGAAATGCTTGACGTACGTCCTGGGCGGTCATGTCCTTGAGGAATTGGGCCTCCAGATTGCCATTCTGTGACACTTGGGTCGCCTGGTACGTGTAGACGTAGTTTGGGCTGCTTCCGAAAATTGCCTCCAGCATGCTGTTGCTCACGGAGGATTGACTGTGGCCCATGTTGGGCAAGAAGTAGTTCTGCAAGAAAATAAACCCACATGACAGTGTGTAAAGCGGAGGGAGGATTGGCAGTAAATGCATGGGGAGGCTTCGGAAAATGGCACGAAGGCGCAGAGTGACAATTTATATAACCGCACAAGCTACTAAGCCAGCTGAACGAAGTTAGCACTGGTTTGAACGTCTACATCTGCAAAACCGCTAATGCAATGATAGTTTTAGGAAGAAGGTTCCTCATTGTTAGGGAACGTACTCGCCTGGTTGTGCCTAGAATTTTCGTCCTAGAGCAACCGCAGGCGGTCGCATGGCGACTTCTAACGTTTCATATAGTGGAACCGACAAAGAAAAGGGAGATCAGAATGACAATTTCTAGCTTATTAACTGTCATCAGCCAGTCATACCCAATCCTGGGTGTGGCTCACGCGGGATTCGAACCTGGTACCTTTCGTCATTGAGTGCAACACCCTGCTATACGTTAGAAGTCACTATGGGACTGCCTGTGGTTGCTCTAAAACGAGCTTCCAGGCACAACCGGGCGAGTACGTTCGCTAACCAGCT